ATTTCAAGTCTAACATAGAAGACGTGAATAACTACCAATTACCATGATACATGTACAAATCAAATATCCCCCAAACAGCAGGATAAATATTCTTTTCAAGTGCACATGAAATATCGTGACAAACCATATTATGCACTATAAACCCACCTCAAAATTAAGAATGAAATCATACAATATGTTCTCTGATGATGACATGATTAAATTCAAAATGAAAAGTGAAAGGATTTTTGGAACCCCTTCTCCCAAAACGTTTGGAAAGTTAAAGACATACTTGACATTATGCCATGGGTCAAAGAGGAAATCACAAGGGACACTTAAAAACTATTTTGAGTTAAATAACATGAATACACAATGCATCAAAATGTGTGGAATGCAGCTAAAGAAATACTTGGAGAACAGCTGTAGCATTTAGTGTTTTGATTAAAGAATAAGGTCTAATCTTCCAAAAATCGTATGTTCTCCCTCATATGCAGACATTAGATCAAGGACAAACACAACAAGGGGACTGGACTTTGATCACATGATAAAAGTGAGAGCACACAAGGGAGGGGTGAGGACAGGTAAGACACCTAAAAAATTAGCTAGCATTTGTTGCCCTTAACGCAGAGAAACTAAAGCAGATACCTTAAAAGCAACTGAGGCCAATAGGAAAAGGGGACCAGGAACTAGAGAAAAGGTTAGATCAAAAAGAATTAACCTAGAAGGTAACACACACGCACAGGAAATTAATGTGAGTCAACTCCCTGTATAGCTATCCTTATCTCAACCAGCAAAAACCCTTGTTCCTTCCTATTATTGCTTATACTTCTCTTCAACAAAATTAGAGATAAGGGCAAAATGGTTTCTGCCGGGTATCGAGGGTAGGGGAGGGAGGGAGGGGCAGAGTGGGTGGTAAGGGAGGGGGTGGGGGCAGGGGGGAGAAATGGCCCAAGCATTGTATGCACATATAAATAAAAAAACAATAAAAACAAGTAAATAAGATAAAAAAGAAAGGTCTAATGTTAAGACTGTCCTTAAGGAAGTGGGTAAGGTGGGAACACTGAATTTGAAGCAAGCAGGATGAAGAACTAAAAGGAGGTGCAAGTTATATTATCTATTTAACTTAAAGGCACTTGTAAAACAGCTGTGTGAAAAAGACCAATATATACCCTCCATATACTAGAAGGATGAGAAGTCAAGATCAAAAGAAATCTGTACAGATTTTGTTCAAATAACTCCTTTTTTATGATTCTCACATAATTGAGTTGCGTCTTTACAACTTGCTATCCTTTGTCCAAAGCAGGATGTGTGTAAGTAAATGCTATGCTTGTTAAATTCTCTGCAACTCCATTCATTGAAGTTCTCAACTTCATTTATATCAATTTCCCTATAATATCCCTCTATGTCTATAGAAAGGATAGTGATGTTTCCTTTGTCATTCTTTTCCTTGATAATTTGTGACTGTTAACTCTTTTTTGTGGTACTTGCGTTTGAACTCAGGGCTTCCCACTTGAAAGGCAAGTGCTTGACCACTTAAGCCACTCCACTAGCTCAAACACTGCTGTTTTAATAATAAAACTCTACTTAGCGTTGTCATTTTTCATTCTCATTTCAAAGAGTAACTTTTAAAATCCGCTCATAATGTGTTTTGTTTGTTCTCTATTTCATTTATCTATTATCTTTATTATACTTTTACATTAGGTAATTTGCTTTTTGCAACTTCTTGGAATGGGTTTCTTTTCTTGATTTCTTCACCTTTTTTCTCATGTATATATTTAAATCTTTCCATTTTATTTGACGCATTGGGTGTATCCTACAAGCTTTGATAGGAGGTTATTTTTATTATCATGCAGTTAATATATATGTACTTCAGTTTCTGATGTAATACTTTTTTGATCCATGGGTCACTTAAAAGTGGTTTGATTAATTACCAAAAATAGTGTATAATTTAATGTCCATTGAGGAGGAGAGAGAAACCCCACCAGGTATTTAAAGAATTGGTGTACATCATATATATAGTATTTATTAGTGTATACAGTATTTGCTCTCTGAAAGAGCAAAAAGAACTCTAAGCAGCAACCACCTGAGATCTGAAGGAACAAAATGAAGAGGTAGGGATTGTTAAAAGTTAGATGGTTGAAGAAGTTCTGCTGTTCTGAAACTCAGACCCAAGTTGCTGCAGATGTTCAGCTGGTTCTGATGTCTCTGAGTTCAGAGGCAGTTGTAGGTCTTTCATCTGAGGACCAGAGTTTGGGATGCTATTTGGTAATGTTTATGAGGAACCATGATGAACCTGGTTATTTAAGTGTTGGGAAAAGTACAAATTAGATTGAGCAGCTGCTATAATAAAAATATGGTTGCCTGGTTGTCCACAGAGAGTAGTCCAACTTTGATGATGCCTCCTAGTGTCTTGAACTGTAAAACCTAATAGATCAGGAGAAAATAAAAAGATTGGCAGCAGATTCCCCATTTCACCCATATAACAAAAAGTTAAAGCAGGATGGGTTTGGAGACGAGACAGTACTTACTAAGTGCATGCATGGGAATTATTATCTATGTTTGGCTATAAAGGGGTTTAAACTCAGGGCCTTGTGCTTGAGAGGTTGGTGCTCTATCACTTTAGACATGAACTCAGCCCTAGGCTGATATTGATTTCTGGCTGAATTTCATTATATTCAGAAAACATATTCCATATGATTCCAGTGCTTTGAAATTTGTTACTTTGTGTTATAATTTTTTTGAACCAGGGCCTCAAACTTATGATCCTCCTGCCTCTGCCTCCCAAGTGCTGGGATTATAGGCATGACTTGCCAGGCATGGCTTGAAATTTGTTATTGTTTTATCCTTTTGGTAAATGTTTTACATGGGCTTGAGAAGCTGTGTATTTTGTAGTTATTACTAGAACATTTTGTTCTCCTAGTTTCTTACAGGTGTGAAAACTGCTGTAGAGCAAGGCTTTTCAAATCTTTGACTAGACCACGATTCCTTAGAAGATAAGTAGCTCCAACTCCCCCAACTTTTTCTGAATTTTGACTCACTAATAGTCTATCAGCTTGTGTTTTGAGGCCTCCTGATATTAAAAAAGTCTACCTTTTCCTTGTTAGGTATTTTTCCAAATTATGTTTTGTTACTATTGGAAGTGAAAGTATACAAAACTTTTATTTTGCCCATTGTATTTTTACATTTTCCTGTCACTTTATCAAAAAACCTCGCTTATTATGAGATTTACCCTCTTTAATATATAGACTATAAGATAATTAGTTCCAAAGACATTTCCTTGAGTTGGCAGAGTGGCTCAAGTGGTAGAGCACCTGCCTAGCAAGCATGAGGCCCTGAGTTCAAACCCCAGTACTGCATCCCCCCAATTATATTTTGGAGGGGTTTAAATAAAGAATTACATGGTCTAATTTCTTAAAGTGATCACCATCTTTTAAACTGCTGAGCATTTTCACATGACTGTTTAGTCTTTTTCTTTTACTTCTTAGTAAGAGTACTTGCCTAGCCTTTTCCATGGTTCCACTTGGACGTCATGTGTGATCTTGTCAGCTATTTGTAGCATCCTATTTGCCTTATTCCTGCCTTTAAATCTAACTTCTAATTTACAGAATATTGAAGTTTCAAAATAATAAATTCCTGATTCAGGAAACCATCAGATCAATCCAGATTGTGAGGAATCCTACCTAACAATGACCTAGTTACTTCAGCAGGTGAAGGGCATGAAAGAAAGGAAGTTGATCTAGATTTCAAAAACTTCCAGGGCCAACATCAAATACAATTAACCTACTACCACAAAGAAAAAGAACATTTCCTGCCTAGGAGAAAAGTGGGCACTGAAGTTTTCTTTCCTTTCTTACATTCTTTTTGCTAAAATTTTCTGGATTGAGCTATTATGTAATCCACTTTCCTCAATGAATCCTCCTGCCTGCCATCAGACAACTTAAAGTATTTATGATATCATGAGCAGGATGAAAATAGGTGATGTCACAGAAGCTCAAAGAAAAAAAAAAGTCAAGATATAAAGCATTTGTCCTTCTCATAGTACGGCATTTTGTCTATCAATACACTCCTTCCATTTGTCTCATGACAACATTTCATAATCAGCAGTTAAATCCAAGTAATCATGGGTAATATTTGCTGCTTCTGCTTTGTGGTCTGAGCCGTGGGTGCATCTGTATTTTTGCTTCTTTGTGTTTTGGGTTCTTGACATCCACGTCTATTCTTGAGGATCTTGGATGGAGGTAGTGGAGTAGTAGCACTAACTAGTTCTAGATACATTCATGCCCACACAGAATAAAAAAGAATCCAGTCAAAGCAAGGTAGAGATCTAGTATTCTTTAAATTCAGCACCAATGCAGGTCAGCCCACATTCCTTTCAGTATTTGCATTGTTTTTGTTCACACTTCGCTTCCTTTTTATAACTTGATTTTTCTTTCTCTCACCCACCATGTTTGTATTTCAAGCAACTCCATTCTCCTTCGTTGGGTATTTTATAGAACCAGGTAGGGTTGAACTCATTGAGGGGTTCATCACGTTTGAAAGAAAAAAATTTCAAGAAAAAAGGAGATGAGTTGGGGAATAACTGAGGTCGACGAGTAGTCTAGCATTATATCTGTATTTCGATGGACTGCTCAAATGAGAAAGAGCTGAGTCGCAGGAAGGGCTACCCTGCAGGAGATTCTGGGAATTGTGGTCCAGAAGACCCACACAGTCACGACCTAGGAAAGGCGCCTTTAATGCACGGTCTACCGCAGAAAATAGAGAACTACATCACCGTCTGCCGTGTTAGGGAGATTTTGGCTTCAGGAAAGCGAATCTAGGGAATTTGATCCCGATTGGCCAGTTTAGAAACTCAAACCAGGGTCTCCTCAGCCGGAACTTCCGCCTGGGGAATTTTGGGAAATGGAGTCTTGGAACCCTGTTTTCCGGTTAACTTCCGGTGTAGGCGGCCGGCGCCGGGCTTATTCCGTCGGGAATTCTGGGAAGTGTAGTCCAGGCGGGCTGTGAGCCCAGAGCCACTTCCGGCCCAGGTAAGAGAGGCCGCGCGGCCTGCGTTTTTTCGCAAAAAGGTGAGCCTGTCCCTTCCTCCCTCCTGTCCCCTCCCCGCCTCCGTTCCGGTCTTTCGTGATTTTGCTCGGGGCCACAAGGAACCGGGCGATGGACCTTAGGGGAGAGAGTCTAATTATGGCGCAGGGCCGGGTTTATTTCCTTTGAATGAGCCGGGTGTGGGGCTGCTGGTGCATCTGGGCTCGGGGCGGGGCCGCCATCACCCGGGTTGAGGCCTGCGCTCCGCGCCCCCGGCGGCCCTTTTGCTGACCGTGTCCGGCGCCACCAGCAGTGTAGTCTGCGAGCAGCGTAGCCCTGCCTCAGTTTCCCCTTCTCTCACACCTTCTACCTAGGAATGATTTTTGAGTTAAATGGCTCAGAACAGTGGAAGAGAGGCCACTTGTTCTTAGTACTTTTTAATTTTCTGAGAAGCACCCAGTTCCTGAAAGCTTCAGCGACCCCAAGGAGGGTCGGAGCCCCACTTGCTGCAGTGTCCCCAGCCCCGCCCTGGTCCCTGTAAAAAAGTACCCGAATTCCCAATTTTTTTTGGGACTGGTCGCCCCTGGCTGTTGTCTGGGATGTCCGCTGTGATTTACGGCGGAGTGCGGATGAAGTTCTGGTGTCTCAGCCGCCTTTCCTCCCCAGCCTTGATTGGAAAAGGCTGCAGGGAAGAGGAGGGAACGGCCCCCAGTTGCACTTGGCATCTCTCCTTCTCCACTGCCCGCTCTTCCCTGGGAAGAGGTTTCCTCTGCTCATTGGCATATTCTTCTGCAGTTGCCCTAGTGTTGAAAAGATGCGGGGAGAGATAGGGCCTGAGTAATACAGTGTGTAGCACGTAGTGCTAAGTTTTATTCTGAGACTCATTTCAGTTGACATAGTTAATCATCACAAGAGTCCGTGGGGTGGGGCCCTGTCATTGCCACGTTAAAAATGAAACAGACACAGCCTAAGTCATTTACTAGCTGACACAGGTAGTAAGAGGCTGGGATTTGAATTTAAGTAGTTGCAGTCCATCGCTTCGGTTCTTAATGTGTTTCGAATTAGGCTGAGATGTGCTTGGGTTTTTTTTGTTTGTTTTCTTTTTTTGGAGGGTTCCGAAAGCAATGTTAATGAACTTTGATTTTTTTTTTTTTTTGGGTAAGTTTTTTCAGTCCTATGCAATTTAGTTATATTTTATTTGAAATACTTACAGTTCTCATTGCAGAAATGATTGGCTCTTGTAGAGGAATAAGAAAATATATATAGAAGAAATGTAATTACCCATGAACACCTGTAGCATATAGTGATCTCTTAATATTTTAATGTTTTCCTGATCAGTAGATTCAGTTTTAAAAATAGGTACTATGGAATATGTGTAAATGTAGTCAATATAATAAGAGTAAAGTAATGCTTTGAAACCACCACCAAACTTCACCATTATGACATTTACTGGTCTTGTTTGTATCCATTCCCTGCCAAGTATTTTAAAGCAGACCTCCAACATTGAGTTGATATGTGATGGATTGTTACAATTGCCAAATATGGATGATCACAAATGGCTTTTATCCAAGGCCAAGAAAAGATAGTCTAAGTATTGGTTCTTTGCAGCTTACAGAACGGTGCTTTCTTGAGAATGCTGGAGCACACCAGAGCATTGCCCATGGAGAGATAATGGTGAATTTTGTAGAGTTTGACTTGTTTGTGTCTTTTAGCTCTTGACTTCTTATCTTTCTTTTTTCCATACACTGAAAGTTCTTTTATTGCAGGAACCATGTTCTTGTACAGGTTTTTGTGCTTTTATCTCCCTCCCTCCCTCTCTCCTTCCTTCTATTTGCCTTTGTGTTTTTTCATGCCTCTCTGCACTGGCTGATTTTCAGGACAGTGTTGGGTGGGAGTGGTGACAATGAACATTGCCATCTTCTTCCTGACCATATAGGGAAAGCATTTTTATTTATTTGTTGTCCAAAACCAGAATGAAATTTTATTGTGTAGTTCATAGAAGTGTGACTAGTATTTTTCTGTGTAAAGCACACAACAGTTTTAAATACAACTGAGAGAAATGAGTCCCATGACAATGTTTGATACGAGCTGAACTTTACAGACACACTAAAAAAATTTAAACTGTCTTCTTTCTCCAGAGAATCCATTGTGCGTTTTTTTAGAGTAGGCATGGGGACATATCCCAGGCAAGGTCACAATGGTGTTTTATTGCCCTTGATGCTGGTTTTCTCTGCGCTTGCTGATCTGCTGTTGGGAAAGCATTTTTATAGGCAACTGTTCTTTCCTGGGATGACTCCCACTCAGAAGGGGTATACTGTTTTTATATATTGCTTGATTCGATTTGCTATTATTCAGTTAGGTTCACTGTCTTTGGTATCAGACTAATTTTGCCATCCTAAATTGAGTTAGGAAGTATTCTCTCTGTTGTACTTTCAGAAAGTCATGTAGAATTAATGTTATTTTTCTTTTGTTTGATAGAATTTAGCAGCAAAACTATAGCTTTGAGATTATATTTTGGAAGGTTTCAGTTTCTTTGGTTTCTGCTCATATCTTTATTGTTCCTTTTGCTTGTTTTGCTTTTCTAGTATCCTAGGAGGTTTCTTTTAAGAAGTTGATCAAATCTCAAACAGGAGAAACTCAGAGCAATCCAAGTGTAGAACATACCATAATCAGACTGCTGAAAACTAACGAAGAAGCTTGAAAGCAGCCAGAGAAAAATAATGCATTGCTTTTATGTTAGAGTTGTCACATGTTATGTGTATATACTTGAAAAACCCCATCAGTGTTACAAGTTTTGGTTTTTCTAGGCAGGTGCTCTATCACCTGAGCCACACCCCTAGCACAATTTTTGCTTTTAATAGTAAAACATATTTTTTAAAACTCAAGAATCTGTGGTATTTTCCTAGATGTTTACCATTCCGTTGCTTCTTCTTCCTTCCTGATGACCCAGGTTTCTTTCTTCTCTGTGAAGGATGTCTCTGAGCTGTCCTTTAGAGCTAGCGTGCTGCCTCCAAATCCTCCTAGATCATGTGAGAAAGTTTTTATTTCACCTTCCCTCCTGAATGATATTCTTAAATACTGTATCCTACGTGCACAATTCTACATTGACAGTTCTTTTCTTTTACCACTTTGGAAGTCCTGTGCCACTTCCTTTCGGCCTTTCTCTAATGAGAAATCTGGATTCCTTCAGATTGTTGTACCCCACAGGTAATGCATTGTTTTGCTCTGGCTACTTTGAAGAATTACCAGCTGGAACCTCTATACATGGGCAGACCCTTGGGTGCAGTTCCAAACTGACTTATGTAGAATTTTTAGGAGGTGGGATCAAGGATTTTAATTTTTTGGCAGTACTGGGGTTTGAACTCAGGGCCTCATGCTTGCTAGGCAGGCACTCTACCACTTGAGTCATTCAGCCAGCCATGTAAACATTTATTTTTTTAATGTCCGTACAGTAGAATTTATTCTTTTTGTTGCACAGTTCTATGAGTTTTGAGAATTATGTTAGATAAACTTCTGCAGTCAAGCTATAGAAAAGTTCCTTCATCCAAAACATTGTTTAATGGTACCTTTTGTAGTCAAACTCTTTCTCTGTTCTTAGTCCCAGGAGACCACTGATTTATTCCCCAGTCCTGTGGCCTTTGCCATAATATCACATGAATGAAATCAATGTGATGCTTAGCATTTTGCTAAATTTCATGAAGTCTGCTTTATCAGTTTTTTTAATGTGTTAAGCTTTTGGTGGTGTATGTCTGAAACATTTGCCTAACCTAGGGTCATATAGGTATTTTTTTCCTCCTACATTTTATTCTAAAATTTTACAGTTTTCTATTTTACATTTAGGTCTGTGATCCCTTTTGATTTAATTTTTGTATAAGGTGTGAAGTCTGATCAAAGTTGACTTTTTCTTTCTCTTCTCCCTTCTCTTTCCTTCCTTCCTCCCTCCTTCCCTCCCTTCCGCCTTTCCTTTCTTCCCGCCCTTCCTACCTTCCCTCCCTGCTCCAGTACCATTTATTGAAATGACTGTCCTTCATTGAATTGCCTATGCAGCTTGGTCAGAAGTCGGTTGGTCATTGTGTGTTTCTGGGCACTTGGCTGTCTTCCCTTCATCCTCACTTCTGGGCATCTGCAGATGCCACGGCTCTTGATTACTGTTGCTTTATGTCACATCTTGAAGTCACTGTTAATCCATCACATTTGATCTTCAGAATAGTTTGGACTATTTTAGCTCCTTTACTTTTCTGTAGAAAAAAATGTTTTGAGACAGAGTTTCCTATGTAACCCAGGCTAGCCTTGAACTTGAGGTCCTCCTGCCTCAGCCTTCAGAGTTCTGGGATTACCCAGGTGCACTACCACACCTGGGCCCATAGAAAATTTAAAATCAGCTTATCCTTATCTACCCCCCCCCAAAAAAAAAACCCTGCTGTGATTTTAATTGGAATTGCATTGAATTTGTAGATTAGTTTAGGAAGACCTGATATTTTAACAATATTGGATGTTTAAATTCAAGAATATATTGCTTCTCCATTTAGTATTTAGTGTTTTGTGTCAAGGTATTAGACTATTTCATATACCACATTGAACTCATGAATGTAAACTTATTCTTTTAATATTTGTTGAGTCTGTAATGATATTCCTCCTTATATTCATTAAAATGTTTTTTGGAATTCTGGGGATTGAACCCAGGGCCTGATAATCATACACTGTACCACTGAACTACACCTCCACCCCATTCTTCCATTCTCACTTTTGGTAATTTGTGTCATTTCTCTTTCATTCTTTGTCAGTCTGATTAGAAATTTATTTTTTGTTGATTTTTTTCAAAGAATTTCCTGTGGCTTTTAAAAAATTGATATTGTTCAGGGGTCAGCAAAATTTTTCTTTCTTTTTAAAAAATGCTTACTGCTTGCTTGCTTTTTTTTTTGATGGCACTGGGGTTTGAACTCAGGACCTCACAAATGCTAGGCAGGTACTTTACCACTTGAGCCACTTCGCCAGCTGAGCAAAATCTTTCTTTAAAGGCTCAGACTGTAATATTTCAGCTTTT